TGAAAAAGGAAACCAAACCTCTCTTTAAAAAAACGAAGTGCCTAGCTATCTCTCCTCTCTTGAAAACTGCCTTTGCCCCATCTCTCACTGTTTGCCTGACCTCTGTGGGTATCCCAAAGGCAATAATACACTTGCTGGAAGATTCAAAGCTAAAATCCACAAATGAGAGAAAGCGTGGGATCTTTATCTTTCTGAGCCTGTGTTCCTTCATTCAGAATGATTGTTTCCAGCTCGATCCGTTACCTGTGAGTTTCATGATTTCATCTTTCTTAATAGCTAAATAATATTCTGTCGTGTGGATATGTCACGTTTTCGCTGTCCGCTCATCAAGGATGTCAAAGCCAGAGGCCGTGGGTGTTTGAAGGCAGCAGTGTGGGCAGCTGCACGTAGGAACTCTCGGCGACGGTGCCGTCGGCTGCTTCTGTTGTGTCTGGAAGACCGTTCCCTTGGAGTCACCCTCCACCTCTGGCTCTTGCAAGCCTTCTGCTCCTTTTCTTCGTAGATCTCTGAGTATCTTGGTTGGACAAGCATGCAAAAACCAGTAATTGCGGTGACAATTCCCATCCTGCCATGTGAGACTCGAGTCCTGCCTGTCCCCATAACGACTTGAAAATGAGGAGTTACTGAACAAAGCGCTTGGGAAGGCTTGTAATTTCAGCTAATTAGCTACTGCATTTTAAAATTAGTTTGAGAAGTTTTGTACAGTGTGTTTCTGTCATGCCTACCCCTCCCCAGCCCCTCCCAAGTCACCCCGATGCCTATCCGGCCAACTCTGTGTCCCCTGCCACATCCATCTAGTCCAGTTTGCGCTGCCCATCTTTCTTGGATGTGTGGCCTTCCACCAAAGCGTGGTTGACTTACCAGAAGCAGCGTCTTTTTTCTTTTATTCACTGCTGAATTTTTCCGTATTTTTTTATTTGAAATTTTTTTCTCATACAATATATTTTGATCATGGTTTCCTCTTTTGCAACTTCTCCCGCATCTCCCCGACCTCCTTACCTATCCACCCAACTTCATGCCCTTAAAACAAAACAAAAACAAAGCAAAAGGTGAAAATCAAAAGAAGTAAAAAAAAAACAACCCAATAGAACAAAAACTGCCAAATCAAAAAGAAAAGTCTGCAAAATAAAACAATATTTTATTTTTAAAAAATACGTTTATTGATTGATCAATTTATTGATTTATTTGAGACAGAGTCTCTCTACGTATAGCCCTGGCTTGTCCTGTAATTCACTATGCAGACCAAGCTGACCTCAGACTCAGAGATCCACCTCTCTCTGTCTGCCACAGCACACTGTACTGTGGAGGGTGCTATTGAGGCTTGACCCATGAGGTGACTTACACTGGACTTGGATGGATGAGAAGCTGTTGAAAGACACCGAGTGGGGGAAAGGGAAGGAATTCCAGGACGGGAGAAGATGAGCGGAAGTGACCGGTATGGCAGGCTTCTGAGGATGTGACCTAGCATGTAGGAGGCTAACTTGAGGGTCTCACTGTGAACAGCACTGGACTTGGACTCTGCTTTTGTCTGCTGCCCACTTATGCATGTGTCTGTTCTTTCCTCTTTCAACCAGGCATGGTCCACACCTTTAGCCCCAGTAGTGGGGAAGCAGAGACAGGCAGATCTTTGCGAGTTCCAGGCCAGTGAGGTTTATACAGTGAGTTCCAGGTCAACGAGGGCTACATAGTGAGACCCCCAACTACAACAAAACAAAGCAACAATCTGCGTTTATTTCTCTCTGTGTGTGTTCATGTGTGTGCACGTGCCATGATGTGTAGAGCAGAGTTGGTTCTCTCTTTCCACCATGTGGGCCCTGGGCGTGGCTCTCAGATCATCAGGCTTGTTGTCTGTGGGCTCCTACACCTGCTCAGCAATCTTTCTGGCCCCGCTTTGGTGTTCTTGTGTGTCTTCTTCCCTCTGGGAGCCTCTCTTCCTCGTATGTAGGTTAACTCCTTGCATCAGGCATGGTATTGATGCTAGGTTCTTCCAACAAACTTCTCTTAAGTCCTGTGGAGAGACCCCATGGCCATGGCAACTCTTGTAAATGAAAACATCTATTTGGGCTGGCTTACAGTTTCAGAGGTTTAGTTAAGTTATCATGGTGGGACAAGGCGTTGTGTAGGCAGACATGGTACTAGAGAAAGAGCTGCGAGTCCTACATCTTGATCCACAGGCAGCAGGAGTCTGTGTCTACACTGGTAGTAGCTTGAGCATAGGAGATGTCAAAGCCTGCCGGTGTTATCCACAGTGACACACTTCTTCCAACAAGGCCTCACCTCCTTAGGGGCTGATGGGGGCCAATTACATTCAAACTGCCGTGTATGTGTATGTGTGCATGTGTGTGTTTTGTCTACGTGCATGTCTGTATAGCATCCTTGGTGGCCAGAAGCAGGTACTGGATCCCCAGAGACTAGAGTTATAGACAGTTGTGAGTCACCGGGGAATTGAACCCAAGTCCTCTGGAAGAACATCCAGTGCTCTGAACTGCTGATCCATCTCTCCAACTCATAACTCAGTGTCCTTGAAACCTTTCCTTTAGGCCTGTTTTGAGGCCTCCTTGCCTGCTCTCTGCGATTGTTTGAGCCGAGTCGGTTGATCTAAGTAACAAGGGTATAGGGAGATTGTTGTTCTTTTTAAAAAATGCTGCAAGATCCCCGGTGGCAGTAGGCAGCAGAAATACTGTAGGTCCCAAATGGTGGCGGCGGGCCATGTGGTGGCAGGCAGCAGGCTCTGGGAGCAGCCAGTCCCAGGCAGAAATGGCTGCCAGTCCCAGAGCTGTGGCCCGAGCGGTGGTGGTGGTGGTGGCGGGCCATGTGGCGGCAGACAGCGGGCCCTGGGAGCAGCCAGTCCCAGGCAGAGACAGCTGCTGGTCCCAGAGCAGTGGTGGCGGGCCATGTGGCAGCAGGCAGTGGGCCCCAGGCAGAGTAGGCTGCTGGTCCCCGAGCAATGGCTGGTTCCAGGCAGGGAGACACATGGCGGGCGGGCAGAAGACAGAAACATGGATAGACACGACATGCAGGGTGAGGTTGAATGTTTATTCAGGGGGTTATGGAGGAGGAAGGGTGAAGGGGGGACAGAGAGAGGGAGAGAGAGGGAGAGAGGGAGAGAGAGAGAGAGAGAGAAGAGGAGAAAGAGACAGAGAAGGGGGGAAGCAGAGAAGTGGGGAGAGAGGCAGAAGCAAAGCTCCCTCTCTGAGAGGAAGATGGAAAAGAGAGCGAGCTCAGGTCGGAAGCTGAAGATCAGCCTGCCTCAGCGGATGGGGAGGGGAATGGGTGTGGCTTGTCTCTTAAAGGGACCAAAACCATAACATTCCCAGGTCTTCCTTATAATAAAAAGCACGCACATCAAGGAAGCAGAAAAGGAAGGGCCCAAGATGACGGCAGGCAGGTCAGAGGTAATGGGAGTGGGCATGGCTTGTCCCTTAAAGTGACAGGAAAGCACAACATTGACACGGCCTTTGGTGGCCAGGCCTGAATCTAGGACTCCAGTAGTCATTAACCTGGCTCAACCCAGCTATGTGGGAGAAGAACACGAAATTCAGAGCATCTAGCCAGTTTTGGCTTAACGGTGGGAGCCTTTTAGGATATAAGATGTCTGAAGCACTGGAACAACTCTTTCGAGCCATGTGGCCAAACACCAACCATTTTCAGGGGGAGCCTCTCCCTGAAGCCATCTCTTGTTCCTTCTCCTTACCTCTTCCCATCGCAAACCATACTTCCTGAGCTTTTCGAGTCTGCTTTATCTAGCTCTTATACTTACAGAACTGGTCACAGCCCCGCATGTGGAGCATACAGAAGTAGAGTAAATGGCTAATACAGTGGTTAGTTTTAATGTCCACTCACCACAGATTAAAATGGCCTGAGTAGGGAGCCTCAGATGAAAGTGGGGAGACCCACTCCCAGTGTGGGTAGTGCCTTCTGGTGGGACGAGTGAGGCAGCTAGCCTTGAGGACTGAGGTTCTTAGCCTCTCAGATGTAAGACAAATATTATTATTTTAACATAAATTAATTTAAATATATGTATTATATACTACTATATGTTATATACTAAATCGTGATATATATTCTTTTCCTTGAAACAACCCAGAGTGATACAATTGGGATAAAAAGAGAAATGAAAAATATCTTCATCTCTAGATAAGATGGACTGTTCCCCTCATCAGTTTTTTTCTCTTACCTTACTCCATAATTGTGATATAATGTTGAATCAAGCAGGAGAATGGAAAGCACAGCTATATAAACTGAGAGACCCTTGTTAACCCCTGCTTTCTCTAACCAACACAGAGGATAAGGTTAGGAAGACATGACAGTCACCATCATGGAAGGTGATTGCCCCCTGGGGTTTCAGGAATGCGGCTGCTGGTGTCTGAGGAAGGCCTGAGGTGATCGCAGCAGACAGCAGACAAACCCTTGGAGATTCGCCTCTGAGTTCTTCCACCAGCTTGAGCTCCTTCAGCGGGAAGGAGACGATGCGGAAGGGAAACCTCCACCTTTTCTAGACTGCTAGTGTCTAATTTTGGTGGCTCATGGGTGTTCACGGGGCGAAAATCTACCGTTTTCCCAGACTCAAGAAAACCAAGTTCTAGTGAATTCGTGGTATGTTGTTTCTCCTATGTTCATGTGAAAGATAAATTCTCTGAGTGATGCAGGGTTCAGTACCAAGAGAAAGAAAGAAACAAAAGCCAGGCAAATAACAATCTACAACAAAGACACCAAAGAAATCAACCAGGGGCCAAGTTTACCCTTTCCAGAAGAATTCTCTACCGATGGTCAATTTACAAAATGTTCTCTTAACTAACAGGACCCTCTGTGGTGCTTGGTGTGTCTTCCTTTTGCAGAGACCCAGTTAACATGTGGTGTTTTGAAGGCTCTTGAATATTACAAACTCTTGTACTTAGCAAGGGTACAGGCGGGGCACACAGGCTACCTCTATTTTTCCTTGAGGTTTTAAATGAAATCAGTGGCCTCACTTACTTGTCTCAATTTTATTTTCCCATTAGGAAAGAACACGGCTCAGACGGATGTGCTGGAGGAAACGCACCAGGAAATCCCAAGCAGGGCGCAATCAGTCACCATTAATGCCCAGAAGGATCAAAGCTACTTGAAGAAATACAGCCACTTACGGATGGACGGGAAAATTGAATTCATGAAGCCGTGCCTTCTCCGTGGGCGATTTCCCGGAGCTGAAGCACTGGAATTGCACGCTGACCGTGAGTGCCAGGCTTTCCCCACTGCAGTTAGCACACTTTAAAGAACAGGTATTGAATTTTAGCTGATTCCAGCATCATCTTTTTCAACGCTATAGACAGCTGTTAAACCATAAAACATTTTGAGATTTAAAGCTCTTGCCTTGCGAGATTTTTTTTCCCCTCTGGGTCTATGAAATATTGTGTGAACAAATTGATTACTTTAAGATGGGAAGGTATTTAGTAGACATCTTCAAGTCGGTATTAAACCTTTTAAAAATCAATAAAAAGTTTGAACATTTGCTTAACCTATGTAACCTAGAGGTAGAGTAATTTGAATCTGATGAAAGGGAATTAGAACAGCACAAACCATTTGATGAGGGCATTCTCATAGAATTCTAATGGAACTCAAATAATAAGCGTTTTCATGGTTTTCTTGCATGCTTATTTTTAGTCTTGGATTCTGCAAGTTACTAGGGAGTTGCTCGCATGCATGGGAAATGCAATTCTCCTCTTGTGCAAACTTGACACAGTGCTTACCCCTCTGCTTTGATTGCATTTGCGTGTTCATTAATGTAATCGAAACTTGTAGCTTCCCCCGAGTTTTCACAGGCGTGTTCCTAATCAGCTGCTGGTGTTTTCCCACATGTCACATCAGGATAGCCAGGCAGGGCTAGTTATTGATGAAGAGGGACAAAGTTATGCAGAGGAAGGGAGGAGGAGAGGGCTTTCGGCTTACTCCGAGCCCATGCGGGTGGGGTCCGGTCAGTTCCCAGAGGGATGATTGGAGAGCCAGGCAGCAGTCATTCTAAGCCCTCAGCTTGAACTACTGAAGTGGGGTGTCCGAAGAGACGTGATGTGGACATCAGCGACATTCACTCCAGAAAGAGGGTTCATCTCCAAGAGACGATAGCTATCTTTCTTCCCCAGCTGGTCTCCAAACTGCAAATCCAAGGGACTCCTGGTCACCTAAGTGTAATCTGGGTTATTTCCAGTGTGTTTTTAAGGCTTGACAGTGATGTTGCAATGGAAAGGCATAGAAGAAAACAAGGCTTCTGATTTTTCTCAGCCTCTGGGTGAGTTAGTCTGAGGGCACTTCCTCACAGGGTATATGTATGATAATTACACAGTCTGTCTTTGCAGCCAATCAGGATATGCTTACACAGCTTAAACAAACTGATCAGAAGTTAGAAATTAAACCCAATGGATATAGTAAAATAAAATTAGAGAAAATTTTCCAAGTTAAACGAAATGTTCGAAAACTCTTTTTTTGATCTTTTATAGATTAATAGAGGCAGAATGGAAAGAATTATGGAATTCCTACTCTTACCTGCTCTCACGTTTGCTTGTGCTAGCCTCTTTGTATGTATGTCCAATGAGATAAGGTCATGGGAATCCACAAGCTTTTCATTTAAAACCTTTTTTTAATGAGTACCAGGCTAGCTTTGAACTCATGACCTTCCTGCCTCAGCTTTTCTAAGTGCTGAGAATACAGGTGTATGCCACCAGTCCCAGCTAAAACTCTACCAAAATTGCTCTTAGTGGAATTAAATGAAAATGATTTGGTTGGCCAATTTGGTTGGCATCCTTCTTTCCAGTGATACCTTTTATTATAATTATTGCTATCATTATTATTAAAATTTTGTGTTTATGAGTGCTTTGCCTGCATGTATGTTTGTGCACCATGTGCATGTAGTACCCATGGAGACCAGAAGAGGGCATCAGATGCCTTGGAACTGAAGTCACAGATGGTTGTGAGTAACCACATGAGTGCTGGGAATTGAACTCAGGTCCTCTAGAAGAGCAGCCAGTGCTCTGAACCTCTGAGCCATCTTTCTGTTCCCATCCCTTCTAAATGCATTACTTTCTTTTAGAAGTGACCAGTAAGTGAACTGAGGTTACAAAAAAATTAGACCCCAAAAGGTACAAATTAGGAGAGACTGATTTCAGACTCTTAATGACTTCCAAAGATTGCTAGGAGATCTTTCCCATCTATGGCACATGACTGGGATAGGTCCTGATGACCTGACTAATATAAACAAAACCTTAGATGATGACAAGGACTTAAATAGTCCCAGGAAATTATCAGCTGAAGGAGAAAGTGAACCCTGGCTAAGAGCTTATAGTAATTTTTTTGGAGAGATTAACAACAACTATCCAAAAAGCAAGGTAATTCAATTTATAAAGATAATTAATTGGATTATTCCTCACATAGTATGGGACACACCAATAACTGGAGCCCCTACATTCTATACTGGTGCAAATCAATCAGGAAAGGCAGGTTACAAATCAGAAAATTTAAGTTGAAAAAAGCCCTTATAATTCTGTCCAAAAGTCAGAATTATATGCTATTTTCATGGTACTTAGGGATTTTAAAGAACCTCTCAACATAGCTACTGATTTGCAATATGCAGAAAGAGTTAGTCTGCATATTGAAACAGCTGAATTTATACCAGATGATACTGAATTGACTTTATTATTTATTCAGTTATAAGATACAATCAGGAAACATCACCTATACATAGCACAGTCTGATCCTAGATGGGTCTGCCAGGTCCTTTAGCACAAGATAATGCAGAAATTAATAAATTATTGATTGAAAATGTGCTGAGGCCCTCAGAATTTCACAATAAGCATAATTTCAATAGTAAAGATTTAAAAAAAAAAAAGATTTTTCCATCATGTGGCAACAAGCCAAGGGAATTATAAGGAAAGTCCTACTTATTCTTTATACAACCAAATGCTACTACCTGCAGGAAGTACCCCAGTAAGTATTCAAAGGAATGGAATCTGGCAGATGGATGTGTTCCATTTTTTAGAGTTTGGAACACCACACCCTTGATACCTATTTACGTTTTCAATGGACAACTGCTTTGAGTTCGGAAAAGGTTGATTCAGTAATCACACATTTGCTAGAAATTGTGGCCATCATGGGTATACCTGCACAAATATAGACATACAATACTCAAGCTTTATGTCTCTAAGAAAATGAAACAGATTTTTTTTTGTTTATTATAAGGTATATTACAGGTATACCACATAATCCTACAGGGCAGACAGTTATAGAAAGACCAAATTGAATTCTAAAGGATATGTTAAATAAACTGAAAGGAATAATAAAGACCCCCAAAGTGGATTGCATAATGATTAATTAACTTTGAATTTTCTAAGTGCTAATGAGGAAGGAACATCAGCTACAGAGAGACATTGGATAGTAGAATAAAAAAAAACTATGGAATTAAATCAGCTGATATACTTAAAGATGTACTGACTTTAGAATGGAAACCAGGATATTTATTACGTTGAGGAAGGAATTTTGCTTTTGTTTTTACAGGAGAAGAAAAGCTACAGATACTATCAAAAAAAGAATAATGGCATTTAAGCATTTTTAATAACATAAGTTCTTTTGTATGACAATGAGGAATGTCTGCTACTGGTAGCACCAATCTACTTCGGAGAAGATAATGGACATCAAAGAAACTCCACATTGAGTTTGCTTTCTTTGTGACCAAGTAAGCCACTGGGCAAGAAAATGCCCTTGTCTCAATGGTTGACTGTATCTGTCCTTACTGGACAAGAAGGACACAAAAGAAAGTGATTGCCAAACTTGTCAAGACAAAGAGGGTCAGCCTTTCAGAATATCCTGCTTCACACATCTGTAGGATATGCTAGGCCTATAGGCCAAAGATGGATGCCCTAACATTGGGATCACATGCTTTTAATGCCAGCACGAGGGAGGTGGAGACAGGAGCAATATGGCTGGGCAGGGAGAGGAACATAAAGGGGGAAGAGACAGGAACTCAATGGAGTCTGAGGTTGGTGGAGAGCATTGCAGGATCACCCCTATGTTTGTCTGAGCTTTGGTTGAGGTAAGATCTCTCTAGTGGCTTAGCTGCTTTGCTTTTCTGATCTTTAGGCAAGCTTTATTTATTAAAACACAGATAATATACCACTATAGCAGTAACTGTTGCCCACGACGGAGAGAAGCACCACTGTCTAGGGCGGCGATTGGTACTCATCTATGGGTATAAGCATTACTATGTAGGAGGCAGCTCAACAACATGTTCATTTAGTAAGACAGCTTACAGTAGGAGGCATGAATTCCCTCCTACAGAGCAGAAAGCAGTTGGTTACTCCAATAGTAGTCATGCCATTATTGTACCATAGACACATCTTGCCTGGCAGGTTAATTATAGAACGCAGGGTTTGAGTCTAGTTAACACCATTGGTGCCTTTTGTTCTCTGGTGACTTTATAGCATGTTCTAGTTCTATGAAGGCTAGCAAGAAGGGAGGACGTTCTCAGGTCAGTTTCAGCTTGATTCCTCTTTGTCCTGTAACCAAAGTATATTGTGTCTTCTGCAATAAGGACTTACCGTATAGTTCTTACCATCCAAGTGGGAAAACAAGGCCAATGGCAATAGCCTGTGTTATTTTGAGGAAGTCTTGGGCTACCCTGACCAGTAATTTATATTGACATATCTTACTGGCACTGAGATTTTCATTTAGTAACCCATGTCTTCTGAGGGAACATTGTCCACCCATGTGGACAACCCTGTTCAAACTCCTTTTAAAAATGATTATGTTTTTACCCTAGCTTAAAGAAGTAGTGGATTTCCATATACGTTTCTCGTAACAGCTTTATTTTGGTTAACTCGCTTCCTATCTATTGTCTCCCCTGTCCACTTACTCCCATCCCTGTTTAATCAAACCTTAAGTCCCCAGTGTCTCCCCTCCCCCTTCGTATCCTGTGTACCAACTGCTTGCTTTTGATGGGCCTTGTGGTGCACATCTATAATCCCAGCATCCAGGAGACTGGGGCAGGAGGATGCCTTGACTACCAGTCTGGCTAGAATTTGAGTGAGACTTTGTCTGAAAAACAGACAGACAAGTACATGAGTTAAAAGGTATGGTTGTACTGTGTTTTAAGCTCACAGGTTGGCTGTTAAGTGTCTTGAAAGCCAACACTTGTTTGAAGCATTTGGTGCTCAACTGAAGCTCTTGGTTGATCCCACTATCTAGTAGCAGAACGAAGGCCTTGATCTAGTGCGCTATGCTGACTACCAGCTGCACAAGCTGAGGGGCTTGGTTTCCTCATAAGAAAAACAAACCAGGTTGTAGACCACGTTGACCTCTGGGTGTCCCAAGCTTGCACATTCCAGGGAATCACGTGAAGTTCTTATCCAGATGCAAGGGACTCAATCACTTGTGGATCTAGTTCAGAGACGGATTCTGGCTCAGAGGTGGGCAGTGGGGCCTGGGACTGAATGTTCACTGCCCTTGCTTTTTCAAAGGCCATAACTTTGTTTTCCCTGCTAGAACGCTACATGAAAAACAAGTTATTATAAGCTGGATACCATGACTCACACCTACAATTCCAGCACCCATGAAGCTGAGGCAGTGGATTACCCAAGTTTGAGGCCACATAGTGAGTACCAGGCCAGCCAGTGCTATAAATAGCAAGACACTGTCTCAAACAATAACAACAAACAAACAAAGCTACAACAACAAAACACTCATGTTTGATTCTGTGAGCTCTGAGAGAGTGAGATGGTATTTTTTTTCAGTGGAAACCAAGGCAGGGAGCATTGAGGATACTTGGGAAGTGGGGGGTGTAAGCCCAGGAAGATGGGCATGAAAGAATGATTCTTGTCAAAGGGAAAGGTTCTCGGTTTGAGTTGCGCTGGGAGTGGGGTCTGAGGTGAATTTGGGGATGGAGGTGGGATTGAACCCAAGAGAATTTGCAAGGAGAATGGCATCTAATTTCCTATTGTGTTTAGTCCTTAATTGGGACTCGGCAGAACAACATGAGCCCCATATCTCTTTGATACTTTCCAAGGAGAGCCACCGTAAAACTTCAGCATTTCTGAATTTAATCCATTACAGGCTCCTATACTTAATGAAATTACAACAATTCAACAAATGATATAATTGCCATAAATACTGCTTTAATATAATTATGTGTAGCTCACTGGAACATGCTATTGCATTCCACAATATAATTATGACATATGCTGTTATCAAATTCCTTATCGAAGGCATGCAATGAATGCAGCTAACATGTTAATCAGGTGTTAGGGTTTCCACCTGACAATGTCCCAATTTAACAAAATGATAGGATAGCAAACACATTTTTCAGACAGCTAGGTGTGAGGACTGAGACAAAAGTGAGGGTGATTACAGTTGTAGATTTGGAAGTGAGGCCTCTGGATGACCCCCAATGAATGCCTGAGGGTAGTTAAAATGCAGTTACCTTCCTACATTTGCTGCTTTTTATATTGTCTTTTGGATCATTTTCTTAGGATAAATGCTCTAAACCCAGATGGGCACAAGGCTCAGCATTATACAGTGTCAAAGAGCATTTTAAGAGAAATGTTTCAAAGAGAGCCTTCTGCTGGATTTGTCTGTCCTAGCCCCTATTGGGAGCACTGTAAATTTGGTTATACTCTGATTTCTAGCTTGTAGGAGTACTTCAGGGGCCTCCCATGAGTGGGTGATCTCATCCACAGCTGGTTTCTGAGCCCTTCAGAGAGCTGACTCTTCATTGTTTAGAGGCAGAGCCTCACATGTTACAGGACGGCTTTGAACTCAGCATGTAGTTGAGTATGACTCTGAACTTCGGATCTTCATGACTCTGTTTCTCAAATGCAGGGATTATGGGATTGTGTTACCATGCCCAGTTTATATGGCACTGGGAACTGAATCCAGGGCATGGCAAATGTGGAGCATGTCCTCCACCAGCTGAGCTGTATCACCAGCCCTCGAAAAGCTGAGGTTTTGAAGGAATAGCCCACTCTGGGGGGTAAGTATCACTTTCTTCTTTTCTGCTGCAAGAGTCATTCATTGATTGGTCATAGGTGATATCCGGATAGCCTAAATTGATGGCTGGCTCCATCTGATAGTGATGATGATGAGGCTTCCTCCAGCATCACTGAAATAAAAGCTTTTCTCTCTCACGTTTAGCCTGTGGCATAACCAGAAACGAGTCACACACTATGATAGTAACTGGCACCCAGGGGTACCTCTCATCTTCATGGAGACCCAGTTTCATGAATCCCACTTTCTAGATGGGGAAACTGAGTCTGGAGATATTCTTCTCCTACTGTGGGGGCACTCAGGGTGTCAGCAACAGTCCTACAGAGCTAGGATTCCAGCTAAGGGAGACCACGGAACGGAAGGCCTTTGGACCACAATTTCAGAATGCTGTTGACTCTGTTTTATCTGGGGCATCAAGATTGGCATCAAGAAGTTCTTAAGTAACATCTAATTACTGACTAGTTCTAAGATGTGGTAAAATGAAAAGTGAGGTCAGGGCTTTGTTGCCACCATGCAGGCTGGCAGACGGTGAGAAAGCTGTGGCATTTACAGCAGGAAGCTGTTGTTTAGCTTCAGAGAAACCTGCACACCCGAGAGAGGAAAACTAGGGACCTTACAAAGTATGATTGCTTACTTTTCAATTTCAGTCTTTCAAGTAGTCTAATACTTCCTGGGACAAATAGAGTTTACTATGGAAATGTTTTCTTTGAAGATGCAATTTAAAGACAGATTTCTTGTACTCTCATTTGTGAATATATTGTCAACAAATTGCACGTATTTATTCAACTTGTCCAAATAAAAGTCCAATAAGGCTCAGAAATAGATTTCTCAGCAATTTGAATTTCTGATGCAGGGAAGGCAGCGAAGAGCTTGCTGCTTCATTCCTTCTCTTTGGATTAAAATCCAGGCAAAATGAGAGGCACGAGGAAACATTTACGCAGTGGATTTGTTAGTAGCTTTCACTGTGGTAATGGTTCCCTATGTGTAGATACATGTATATAAATGAGAACCACTCATCTCACCAAGTGCAACTTTTTGCATGGCATGTCTCATTAAAGCAATAAAGTCAGTAGACAAAAAACAAAGTGGAATAAAACTAATGCAATATAAGAGAATCATTAAATAATTTGAGATAGGGTTTCCCCGTGAAGACCACACTGATCTCAAACTCCTGCCTCTGTCTCCTCCAGATTGTGGGAATATAGATGTGTATCACCATGCACACAAGCTTGTGATGTGTGTGTGTGTGTACACGCACATGTTTGTGTGCACAAGTGTGCGTATCCATGTTTGTGTGTTTGGAGGCTAGAAGTGGATGTTGTATCTCCCCTATTGTTCTCCACTCTATTTTTTTTTTGAAACAGAGTCTCCCATTGGCCTGGAGTTCTTTGATATGCTAGATTGGCTGACTCATAAATCCTTGGGATTCTGGGGGCTCAGACTGCTCTCAGAGGGGATCTTCCCCCTCCTTGTCTCTTTCCCCTTTGCTATGGGACAATGATCTTGTATCCTGTAAAGCTTTATCTCTTGTATTGGTTTAAGAAAATGCTGACTGCCAGTAGCCAGGCAGGAGGTATGGGTAGGGTGACCAGAATAGGAAAATTCTGGGAAGAGGAAAGGTTTAGTCTGTAGTTGTCACCTAGACACAGAGGAAGCAAGATGAGAATGCCTCGCTGATAAAAGGTACCAAGCCACAGGGCTAACACAGACGAGAATTATGGGTTAAGATGTAAGAGTTAGTTAATAAGAAGCCTGAGATAATAGGCCAACCAGTTTATAATTAACATAGGCTTCCTCGTGTTTCTTTGGGACTGAACGACTGCGGGATCAGGCAGGGCAGAAACTGCTGTCAACAAATGGCGACCAAGTGACTAGGCTGACATGCATGGCCTGCCACCCACCTCAGGTCCGGGTCCCTGTACACCTGCTCAGGGTTAGGAGAAAAGCAGCTGAGAGCATGCCAGCAGCTCAGCACTCTCTGCCTGGGTAACTGGCCAGACTGGGTCTGCTAGTTGTACACAGGCAGGAGAGCATGCTGGATCCCTGCCTCCACACACAGAGATTTCCAGGCCACTCAGTGTGCTGCATGGCAGGTTTAGCTTTTACTCAGATAAAAAGGGTTTATGTACTGCTCTCCCAGAGTTGAGGTGGTGAGGATGGCTCCCACCCAGCAGTCCCAGAGCAGGTGATAAACTACCTCAGCCATGTTGAAAGACTCAGAGAGGTGGAGCCAGCATCTAGGGCTACTGAGACCAAGCTTCTTACCATTTTAAAAGTGCTCCTGTCTCGAAAAACCAAAAAAAAAAAAAAAAAAGTGCTCCTGGTCAGAAGATTATTACAGATACACAATAAAGACAAATTCAGATGTAAAAGACCTCTAAATGGATCACAGTGTTGAATAAATGTACGTAGGCATGGGAGAGATAAGAAACAGTTAAAAGAAAAGTAAATGGTTTTAAAAAAATAAAACAAAATCTTTAAAGAGACAGAGTAGACAGTCATAGATTAAGAGAGTATAAAGAAAAATAAGCCACATAAAGATGGAATATATACAGAGAGTATGGATTATGTATATTATTGTGTTTTCTTTGAATTTTTTTGACTGTGAATGAGTTAAGACAGAGAGACATCTCATTGCATGAGCTGCTAAGCTAAACCAACATATATATATATATATATATATATATATATATATATATATATATATATAATCTTGACTTTAAAATTTGGGCCTAAGAATATGTTGCTTTGGAAAAGAGGTTCTGCAGTTCTGCTTTTGTTTTCACAGAAGATGAGAACCTATGGATTCCTTCCAGACTAATGTGGTTTGATCAACCAAAACCCCCCTGAAGAATCTCTGATAGGAGTGTATTTCCCATATGATACAACATTTCAGAAGATCTCTGTTGGAGTTTTCTCTGAGTTCCAAATTCAGAACAGTCTCAAGACTGTTGGATGAGATGATCCAGCCTCACAGAATATTCCATATTCTTGACCATAATTCTTAATTTTCTTTAGGTCCCCATAAGATTATCAGCACCCCCAATTAGTAGGAAGTATTCTAGAAAACTATGCCCAAATTCCCAAAAAAATGGATTATGGATGTTTGTCTTTGTTTAGAGTGTTGGTTACAAGTTGTTATGGATAATAATAATAAAAAAGCTAAACAAAGGAGATTAGATTCAGAGTCCTTGTTTTTTTTTTTTAAGGGGGCTAACGTGTGGTGGGATAATGGTCTTGTATCCTGTAAAGATTTGTCACTTGTATTGGTTTAATAAAATGCTGATTGGCCAGTGGCCAGGCAGAAAATATAGGTGGGGAGATCAGAATAGGAGAACTCTGGGAAGAGGAAAGGCTCAGTCTGCAGTCATCACCCAGACACAGAGAAAGCAAGAGGAGAATGGCTCACTGATAAAGGTACTAAGCCACGCAGCTAACACAGACAAGAATTATGGGTTAAGATATAAGAGTTAATCCTAGCATTCGGGAGGCAGAGGCAGGCGGATCTCTGTGAGTTCGAGACCAGCCTGGTCTACAGAGCTAGTTCCAGGACAGGCTCCAAAGCCACAGAGAAACCCTGTCTCGAAAAACAAACAAACAAACAAACAATATATATATATATATATATATATGTTAGTTAATAAGAAGCCTGAGTATTATAATAGGCCAACCAGTTTATAATTAATGTAGGCCTTTGCGTGTTTCTTTGAGACTGAACAGATGAGGGACCAGGTGGGACAGAAACTCCTGTCAACACCCCTTCCCCTCCTCTCTTGTCCTCCTTGCTCCCCCATCACACACACACACACACACACACACACACACACACACACTTTGAAATAATATTTGTTTTCATATATGAAGGTGAAATATGACACAAAGAAGATGCAGACCATTCCTATTTAACCCCCTGGAGTTGGCAGGCAATGAAATTCAGGAAGGCCACTTGGAATCTGAAATACCAGCGTTCACCTCCAAGTGTGCCTGTGAGATGAGTTAATGTTTGGCAGGAGTGAGGAAGGCTTCAATCTGCATGGTAACAAGAAAAGGGGACAGAACGGCCTGCAAAATGGAAAAACTTACTTGCATTTGCAAGTAATTAAACACACAAATCTGAAAGTCTAAAGAGCTAAATAACAGATTTGGCAAGCACATATGTATTTTTTCTGGGCTGAGGGAAGAGTCATTAAAATGCAGAGAAATTTTTGCTTTTTCTAGGAATGGAACTTTATGTAGCTTCAGCATCCATCCTGGCAGTAGGACATCAGGGACAACTGTGGGGACAGGGGAGGGAAATGAACCTTTGCTCTGGAGTCCGACTGGGATCTTACCAGCTGAGAGAAAAAAGCTCCAGTCCAATTAAGAAAATTCACTGTGGAGTTTGTCTACACAGAGACATTATTTCAAACTTATGAACAGGAGAGAGGAACCAGTGGGGGAGTTTAGGGACTGGGACCTTGAAAACAAGCCATTCTGTTTCTTGTCTTGGCTGGAAGCCGTGAGTGTCCTTGGTCCTGTTGGCAGTCATGTCCTGGCTGGAGGCCTGATAGACCAAAATATTTAGGGACACTGGTTTATGTGCTGGTTTATTGTTCTTAATCTTTCTTCCCCTTTACATAGCAGGTTTAATGAGCACAGCTGCCTGGAAGCATTGCATGATGGGACTTCTGGAGGATGTGTCTGGAACCCCAGTCAAGATGCTGAGCTGGCAAGTTGCATGGCAAAGGACCAACCAGCTCCCCCCAAGCCCATGCCTCAACCCAGTAAAGTCTTCTTAACTCCTTGGGGATTTTTCCTAACTGCTCACCTATAATAAAATGTTTTCCGCAACTCACTCTTCTGCTGTCTGGGAAATGCAGCCATGAGTTAAAGGAGGAGGAATTTTAATGGTCATTGATTACCAGCCATCTAGTTCCTGATACTACTCACCTGAGGAGAGAAGACTGTCACAGGACAGAAGCCCCTTCACCTTGCTTTCCCCCTTTATCAATAAGAGTGTTAAAAAACCAAAAGGTCATGCGTAAGGCCTCCATGTATATGATCTCCGGGTTCTTGTTCCTTTCCAGGTGTAATCCCTGTGAATTTTTCTGGGAATATTACAAACAAAACTACACACTTCATTTGCATCAAAAGAAAGTGCTGGTGCTGGCTGGTTTTGTGTCACGTTGATACAGGCTAGTCATTTGAAAGATGGGAATCTCAGTTGAGAAAATACCTCTGTAAGATCCGGCTGCAGGTGAGCCTATTAGATATTTGTAAATTAGTAATTGATGTGGGAGGGCTCGGTCTATTGTGGATGGTCCTATCCCTGGGATGGTGGTCCTGGGTTCTGTAAGGAAGCAGGATGAGCAAGCCATGGGAGTAAGACAGTAATTAGTGTGAAGGCCAAAGTTCTGTTTTAAGTTTAAATTGCTATGATTAATAGATCCATAAAACAAGAATACTTCAAATCTGTAAGCCCCACCTGCCCAAGGACAGATAACTTCCTGAAATGCTGGGGGCTGTTGTTCATGTAAGATAACAAGCTATGTGTTTTCACACCTGTACACAAGCCTGGTTGTCCCAACTGCTCAAGACGTGCCTGATCATACGTAGGCAGTAAATATGTCAGGATGAAGGCAGGAAGTATGGAGTCTTGTGGTGTTTGCCTTCATAAGACCCTGACTAATGTAATTCACAGCCATACTCTGGGAATCCCAGGTATGGATGTGACCAGCGTCCATCATCCTGTCCAGTATTTAATAAAGCTTGTTTCAAATCTGGTTAAAAAAAATTGTGGTGGGGGTCTTATTCTCACCTGGTAGAATTAACATTTTCTGGAGGCCCCAGTGAGATAAGATCACCCACCCAGGTTTTAAAGACAGACCTTTACTCTGGGACTCCATGGCTGAAGGGCCACCTCAGAAGGTTACACGCCTTGAGACTTTCCAAGGTTCCAAGGCATGCTTTTGGGTTGCAGACTGTTAGAGTGAACTTCCATGCTGAGAAAAGCTGTAAGTATCAATGGGGGGCTTCCTTGGTAAGTCAAAGTAATTTTCTGTGATATCTGGCCTTTGGGATCCCGATCTGGGATGGGAGAAATTCAACGAGACCCAGTCCTCTCCTGTCCAGGGCAAAAAGTATGTCGTCACCCACCCACCTTGTTCTGGTTATTTAGAAAGTTTTGTGGTTCTGTGTTTTCTGTTGTGTTCATAGTTTTTGCTGCAAGCATGTGACAGAAATGTGTCAGACTCGGTTGAATGTATGAATGATGGTGGCCACCGCATGTTTTGTTTCTGATTGGTCTCCTATGAGTGTGGATGAGCTTTCTGTGTTCTGCCAGCCACCACCACTAATAATGTTTGCCATGGCTGATTTGATGGCCAGGGCTCAGAATTGTAGAGAGGCTGCTTGCTTGTTCCTGGTGTGTCCAGACTCGAAAAAAACACACAGAAACTGTATTAATTGAATCACTGCTTGGTCGATTAGCTCTACCTTCTTATTAGCAAGTTCTTACATCTTAATTTAACCCATTTCTATTAATCTGTGTGTCGCCACATGGCTATGGCTGTGGCTTATCGGCAAGGTTCCATCTGGCATCTGTCTCTTACATAGTTTCTCCCGACTCTGCCTTCTTTCTCCCAGCATTCAGTTTAGTTTTCCCCACCTAGCTCTGTTCTGCCCTGCTATAGGTCCAAGGCAGTTTCTTTATTAATCAATATTAATTACAGCATACAGAGGGGAATCCCATATCATAGAATTTATCTCTGGGCTTCCTGGTCACTGAATTCAGTTTAGCAGGGATTCAGATGTCTTTTGGGTGTGCATGACATTAAAGTTGTTCTATGCTGTCCTACTTACCTGAAAAGCTGGCTCTGGAGTCAGGTTATGGCTCTTCCTCCTCTAGACCCAAGCATGCTTGTTTAACCTCCAACCATCCCATGTCAGGCAGGCCACCTGATTTTGTGACAGGGATCAGAGAGCAAAACAAAACAGCTAAAACATATTAGACAACTGGTTTCATTTAACTGCCTAAAACTTCTGCTAAGTTATAAACCTTATCTCAAGATTTGTAAGACTATTAGGTGAATTTCCTGTACTTCAAGATTTGTAAGTGTGTTGGGTATGGACAAAAATCTGTAAAATATGTAACAAAAAAGTTAACTTGAAACTTGTAACACAAAGGGTTGATAATTAAAAATCTATATGTAAGTAATCTTAAAGGAACCGTGTGGTGTGATGCCATCTTAGGATATAATAACATGTGTCTTGCTGTCATCTTAGCTGCTGTTTGCCATGGAGATGGAGGCAGCCACATAGCTGGCAGCATTGTTAGGTTTGGAGAGGTTGGATGTGATGTAACTTTATGAAGGTGACCATAAAGTATAATCTAACCAAGGAGGCAGCAACGGGTCTCCAAGATATTTTGGGTTAGGATAGATTTTTGTATGATAATCCTTGTCCTGAAAATAATTATAAAAACAAGGTTTTACGGGATTTAAAAACAATGCTTGTGTAGTAAGGTATTAAAGCGGAACATACCTTGTGCTGCCAATCAATCCTTGTGATGTTAGAGTCACAGTTGGTATTGGTTTTAAAGGCAAGACAGGGGTCATGCAGAGCAAACTGAGGGTGGCCCTGAGTGTCAGGGCTGAAGTTCCTAAAGAGTGCCCAGGAGAGGGACCCTAGCAGTTTTGAAGATGCCAGTGCCATGGGACAGCCACCAGAAATAACAGCCACAATGAAGTTAAGCCAGCTGGGGTCTAAAGATAGGCTGTGTGTGCTGCTGAGGGTGGGGATAGAGAGGTGATCTGCACCCCAGGGGAAGCCCAGAGCTCGTGGTTGAACCAGAGGTTGAGCATGCAGTTGCTTGCGCCCTTGGACTTGGGTTTTTACCTTGTCCAGACTATGGATGTGCCCTGCTTCTTCCCTCTTGAAGTAAAAAGTGTACTTTATTTCTGGTATTATAGGAACCCACAGATTTTAAACTTTTTTAAAAAAGAAATTTTAGAATTCTATTAAAATTTTAAATAAAGCTGGGTGTGATGGTGCACGCCTTTAATCAAAGTGCTTAAGAGGCAGAGGCAGGTGGATCTCCATGAGTGCGAGGCCAGCCTGGTCTACAGAGCAAGTTCCAGGACAACCAGGGTTACACAGAGAAACCCTGTCTCAAAATAAATAAATAAAATAAAATAAATAGATATTTTCTTTAAATATTTAAGTTAATAAGGCTTTGGGTAGTTTTAAGTTTATAAAATGTGTTAGGATGTCTTTTAAAATATATAAGCTAAATAAATAAATAAATGACTAAAGATTTAGGGACACAGCTCTGAGCACCAAACACTAAACACCAGAAACTGGGATATTCCTGTCTTGTGATTCAGTAAGAGAGTGACAAGCAGTCTGGCAAAAGAGCCATTTAGAATGTCTCCTAACCTAAGGTCTCTTCAGGCCAACAGAGGCTGACTAAGAATGCGTCTAGCCTCCTGCCCTTTGTTAACTTTGTTAAGCTTTAGCGGTTTCGCTAAACTGAGCCATATAAAAAACTGATATTCTGTAATCGCATACCATGAAAGGACCAGAAAATTAAGTTGCCAGTCTCCCTATGGACTGCATTTATGGTCTGATATTTATTCTGATGCTAAATAATCTTCAATGAAATCTTTAAGACGCAAATTTAACAGAGATAAAGCTGTAAAAATCCCAATTGTATAAATGCTATACACTTGTTGTAAACTGTTAAACATAATTAAGACATACAGGTGAATCAAATTCTTCAGAACTAGGCTTGTAGCTATGCTGAGTTAAAACGAAATTCGTTTACAATGACAAGCTTTATTTATCCTCCTGTATGTGTTTTCCAGGTTTAGCCTAAAGCTAGTAACTAAAAACAAAGTTTGTTTAGCTCAGGTATACTTAACAAAGTGTGGCCTTCAATATCTTCAGAGATCTGTTGATATGGCATGTAAAATGTTTAATGAAAAAAGTGTTTCACAACAGACACAAATACCAGCGCCTAGTGGTGACCTTAAGGTCTCCAAAGAAGACTATTGGGGAGGGGGGGTAGGACTGGGATGATACTACCTGGATTGTGGTAAAGCTAACCACTAGGATAAACAACCCCATGCCTTGCTTACCACCAGGCCTGTGCCCAAACTGTGGACAAACAAGCTGCTAGAGACTTGATTGCCATACTTTCCCTAGACAAGGTAGGCAAATCTCTCAAGTTCCTTCTTCACAATCTCTTGGGTTTCTTGGGCCTGGTAACCAAAGACTGATATTTCCTTGGAACCTGAGCCCCCAATGCAGCCATCGTAGACCATGGGAACCTCCTAGGATTCTGGTAGCTGGTAAGTGGGTCACTTTAGCTAATACAGAGGGGGTTTGGTTTAACACTCCCTGCTATAATTTTCTTTCTCAGATGTCTAATGGTGTTGGTTTTTTAAGCCCCTGCGCCCAGCCACTGCAAATGGAATTCACTGGTATATAGGAAGGATATTAATACTGACTTTTGTATTAGAGTCTTTAGGGTCTCTTATGTGTACAATCACATCATCTGCAAAAGGCAATACTTAGAATTCTTTTTTTATTTTTCTTCTTTTAAAAAAATTTATTTAGTTCTTCTCTAGAACAAAAGCCTATGACTTTTATTTTGTGAAAGGGCCTGCTTCTGTTTGCTGTTCTGTTCTGTGGTCACACTTTAGTGACAGAGAAACTCTGAACTCTAAGTAAACCATGCCCCAGCATTTTATACGCAAGGGGGCTGGTTAAAATTCAAGGCCAGTACTTTGATAGGTTCACTTTAAAATGT